ACCCCACTTTGCCTGAAGTCTCCGCTGAAAGATCAAGGCTCCTGTGGACTCACCACCTGCTGGAGGGTCAGTGAGGGGCTGGTGTGCTGTATACTGGGTGCAGCTCTGACTGACAACCCCCTGACCCAGAATGGATCAAGGGGAAGAAAATGGATGGAATCATAATGAGTTATATACTTTCACTTTTATGGACACTCAAAGACACTTTGAGACACTGCCAAGTCTCTCTTCATGGTTTTTACTGTTTTACTGGTCTCTGTGTGTAAGAACATGCGCGTCTGCTCGTGCGTGCGTTCTTAAATAATTTATGTGGGGTGGTCGAGAGGAGGGGTCATGGGCAGGATTGTTTTTCACCAAACTGTAAAGCATTTTATGTTGCATCTTCTGTATGAAAAGCGTTTGATAAATTTGATAAACACATTTGATTTGATTTGATTTTGATTTGAATTAAAACCTGCAGCTCCTCAGCCATGTGAGGACTGAGGTGTACGCCCGTGCTCTAGGCTTTAGAAGAGTTTTTGTGCGTTAAATCTGCTTTTCGATAATAGACAGCAGAAAATATGAGACAGAAGCTCCAAGGTATACATTTATAGCTCTATGTTCTGTACTCGGTACGCCCGATGGATAGAGTCCTATGTCCTGGATCTAGAATCGGACCCTAAGGCCCCGACTCCACCGGCTGCGTAAAACGTACTACGTATCCGTCCAAACGTGTCCGTCCAAACGTGTCCGTTTCATCTCCGTTTCCGTTTTCTCCGTGAGGGTGACAGGAAGTGGCTCCACTGCCCGCAATATGCGTCCGTATGACGCGCGTAGGGAGCAGTCTGTCCACGCAGGGTGCAACGGACGCAGACAGCCGAAATAGAAACAATCTTTTTTTTTACGTTTTCCATTGGAACTACAATGGAAAATTATATTTACTGCATTATAATACATGTAAAGATATATGCTGTAGTCCTTGGTTATAAGTGTTTGTTAATGACAATGATTATTAACAAATGTGTGTAATTTATTTTCATGTATTAAATTGAAATAATTGTTTCCTGATTGTAAATCTACTGTTTATTTTTCGCGTATGTTATTATTGACTCGCTTTCAAAAAAGCCTGGATATGTTGGAGTTCTTTTCTCTCTCCCCTTTTTCCAATTGCTTTCAATAAGTTTTGCCTCATCCAGTGCAACGTCCTCGATGCTTCAATACGCCGTGCTTTGCATAGATCATAGCCACAGCTCATGCACATCACACACCTCTTCTTCTATTTAAAACAAAGCCTCACGGGGTGCTGATAAACACACAGCCAGAGCTGCGCACTGCTGAAGCCGGTGTGGCCACAATTCCGTTTTCCGCACGTCTGACGGGCAGCAGCCAACGTTAGAGCATGATATCAAACAAAGCAAATTATACTGTTATAAACAGCAGATATTTGTATGAAAGTAACTTATACATGTCCAAAAGCATTTGTAATCTGTTCAAAGGAGAAACTGCTACGAGGTCTCTGGGCCCTCCACGTGCTCTGGTTTTCCCCCACTGCTATCGAGTGCAATAGATCCGCCCTGCGCCTCCTACAGACGATCCTGCTCTCCCGCGTGGAGTAAGGGGGCAGCGTCCACAACTGTCCAAATGCCCTTTGCCGCGCTCTCCGTGGATCTGAGTTGTTGTAACGGTTGCTTGCTCACTACTGCTTTATTGGTGCTGCACTGTTTGTACTTTTATTTCTGCTCCATGGCCGCTCTTTGCCGTCGCTCTAAATCACCTTTGTATCCAGAAATACTCGTTCATGTCCAGAAGGGGATTCAGTTGGGTCATTGTCGTTGCACTTAGTTTACATCTGAGAACTGCCTCCGGAGCCTGGCTTGCTGTTCAATCTCTACCTCATTCTGCGCAGCGCTTGAGCTGCCCGGCCGTGCCTTCCAATTATTCCCATAGCAAAAGGCCCTGTCAATCCCGCACGGGGACTGCCCTTCCTACACAGGGTTTGTTCATCTCAAGTCTGGCTACGTCTGGCCGCCACACTGGCCACCATGTGTGCGCAACGCAACCTCATCAATTGTTTTGTAATATAATAATAATAAAAATAATAAAAAATAAAGTAATTCCCCAGGACCAACTGTTCATCCCCAGGCTCCTGCGCGCTCTGCGACCCTGTTTTCCTGTCAACAGGTGCTGCTCTGACCTCAGCTTCTATTCCTGCCTGCTGGACCGCTGGTACGGTGTCCTTCTTTCATGATGGCACTGTCTCTTCCAATACTCTCTTTCACGGACGCGGCTCAGTCCGTGGGTTTTGGGGGTCATCAAGGCCAGTGGTTAGCTGCACACTGGCCCCAAGGACTTATTATTGCCCCTACCACTATAATCTCCGCCTTCAACACTCCAAAAGGAAGGAGCCTGTAACATTGTCATTATGCATTCTCTTTTTTCCCCCTGTCCAGATAACACCTGATGAAATGCACTCTCCTCCATGCTCGGAGAGGAAATTCAGATGGCCCGCTATTTCTCTCTGAAACGATATCCTGTCGGCGTCATGCTTTTGAGCCCATCTTAAATTCTGGCCGGTCTCCCGCAATCTCTCTCCTCTCAAATACCGGCCGCTTGTTCAGAATAGCCGCCGCACGGCAGCCTGCTGGGCCTTCCTCACCCGTCCCTACAGCAAATGGGTCGACGGTCCTCCTCGGCTTGGTCCTGCCTCATCCTATATCAGACTAAACACTGACTCTATACTGACTGCTCAGCGCTCCCTCTCTTCAATCTGAGGTAATTAAATATCAAATACTCTGGTGGTGGCTAAGGCTCTTCTCCCACGTAAGCATTCATAACATCTGTTGCACTTCATTCCGGACATACATATATTCACTTTGTCTTACATTCATTCATGCTCACCCCAGCGCTCTGTGCCCGAGATTCTTCTCTGCATATCTTAAGATAAGATAAGATAAGATAAGAGATTCCTTATTTATCTCACAAGGAGGAGAAATTTACATTTGGCATGGATAGAAACACTCAGATTGTGCAAACAAGGGAGGAAATGTGAAAACATGTTAAATGCAGGATATATTATGTACATAAAAAAGTGGCAGTTTAAAAGTGGCAATCAGAAATAGTGTCAATATTAGTGCAGGTTTTTTCAGTCTTATACAGTGACTTAAAGTGACTTATTGTACAGTCTGACAGCGGTGGGGATAAAGGCCCTGTGGTAGTGCTCCTTCCTTGCACTGAGGGTCTCTCAGTCTTCCACTGAAGGAGCTCCTCAGCTCCTCTACAGTCCTGTGCAGTGGGTGGGAGGTGTTGTCCATAATGACTTTGGCTAGCACCCTCCTGTCCCTCACCTCCTCCACAGAGTCCAGGGAGCAGCCCAGAGTGGAGCTGGCTCTCCTGACCAGCTTGTTCAGTCTGCTCCTGTCCCGTTCTGTGCTGCCCGGGGCCCAGCACACGGCAGCGTAGTGTATGGCAGAGACTACCACAGAGTCAGAAAAAGTCCTGAGCAGAGGCCTGCTCACTCCGAAGGACCTCAGCCTCCTCAGTAGGAAGAGGCAACTTTGGCCCTTCTTGTGCAGGGCGTTTGTATTATGGGACCAGTCCAGTTTATTGTTAATGTGAACACCCAGGTACTTGAAGCTGTCCACCAGCTCAATGTCCTCCCCCTGGATGTTCAGCAGCGTGTGGGAAAGTGGTTTTCTCCTGAAGATGATGACCATTTCCTTGGTCTTACTGGTGTTCAAGCACAAGTGGTTGCGCTCACACCAGTCGACAAAGTCTGTGATAACCGACCGATATTCCAGATCGTTCCCCTCAGACACACAGCCCACAATGGTGGAGTCGTCGGAGAGCTTCTGCAGGTGATAGCTGTGTGTGTCGTGTGTGAAGTCTGAGGTGTAGCTGGTGAAGAGAAACGGTGAGAGGACAGTGCCCTGAGGGGCCCCAGTGCTGCAGACGACCACCTCAGACTCACAGCTGCGCAGCCGCACGTACTGTGGTCGGTCTGAGAGTCCATGCAGTGAGGCTACTGTCCACTCCCGCGTCCTCCATCTTCCCCCGCAGCAGTGCCGGCCTGATGGTGTTGAAAGCACTGGAGAAGTCAAAAAACATGACCCTCACAGCTCTCCCGCTCCAGGTGAGAGAGCGGCTTACGCTCCATACACGCACCTCACAATGCGGCCTGTGCCGAGAAAACCTCTGTACGCCCCCTGGGCCCACGCTTCCCTCACGCATGCTTCATTACAGAGCGTGAGGATTACTCACCCCCGCATATTCTCTGTATCCTATACTTCACACTGTCCATGCAATCCTGTTCATGTAATCTTGTTAATGCAATCCCTGCTCCATGCAACCTCTGCTCCACGCAATCTCTGTTCCACGCACAAGCAGCCTAAACGTCCTTGAGCATTCCCCGGCACACACAAGCTCTGTTTCTCTTTGGGGGATCTGAGATCATCTACAGAAGCAAATGATCTCCCCTCTGCAAGTATCACTGCCGGGGTCAATGCACCAAACAAATAAATCTTTTCATGCAGTAATGTTTCTGTCTTGGTCTCTTCAGATTGAACTATGCCACATCACGAATTGGTGCCTCGTCACAAATTGAACCAAAGCGTTTTACTTCCTCTCAAGAATGAAAGACAAAGATCGCTCTCTAACTAATGCTTGAGAAAACCAATGAAAAAAATACTTTGAGCAGGTGGTACAAAGCACTGTAGTAATGTTTAAAGCAGAGAAAAGAGATCATTTACTCCACCAATATAAGGTAACACTGCCCCTGAGTACAAGTCAGCCAGCAAAGTTTTGATTGTGTTTTTATGCTTGTTAGAGTTTGATGGTGGCGTCCACACGGTACAAGTTACATGACAAATATTGCACTGGAGATTGTGTATACAAATATACAAATGTTGAGCCATCAGTAAAAAAAAAAAAATCTTTATTGACTATACATTGTGAGGTGGTGTGATGACATGTGACCGGTTTAATGTAATTGGATGAAAAAGACACAAATATAAACACAGAATGACTCAGTAGAGGCGTCGATGCTGCGGCGATGATGAGAATGGAAGAACAGAAGACTCCTCCAGGTTTATCTCCTCAAAAGCACTGGATCGCAGAGCTGCCACACACACAACATTTACAACTCACACAAACCACTACAGGAGCCGAGAAACTACTTATGTTCAGTATAATCATTGATAAATATAGACCCATTGTACTGAACTTCAAACTGCGTTCACTAGAGTGGTTCTCAACAAGAGGGTCAGGGCCCAAAAGGTTGCAGGATTCATGACTTCTACCTATGGGTCCACTATAATACTTAAAAAATAAACAAGAAATAAGTACATTTAGCTTAAAAAGTATTGCCCATTCTCACAGACTGGACTCAAAATAATCCCATAAATCTATGACACGGAAAGACCGATCTTTTCATTGAGACTTTGCAAAGAAAAATGCGATAGATACTGAAAAAATGGGTCTCAGACAAAATGTGATCCTTTTTAAATGTTATGTTTGTCTGTAAATGTCAAATGGATGCTACTTTCTGGTTCGACAATGGAAGCACACAAAAGAGATTAAACCAAGAAATCATTTTTGCAGAGATGTGAGACCCATGTAAGAATTCAGGGTTTTGAAGCTGTATGAATATCTGTAATTATTTTGTTTTTTTAATCATACTGTGGTGCATTCATCTCCAGGTGGCTCACCCTGTGGATAAAGTTTTACATTTCTTCTGATCTTTATTAGTGTAAAAGTATGATATATATTTAAATGAGGCGTCGACCAAAAACTTTTAACCCCTTGCGTGTTCTTGTTTGTGTATATTTTTAATTCTCACATGGATTATTGTTGTTTGCATTCAACTCCTCTTCCTCAATGAATAGAACCGGACTGGAGCGTGAGGCCGGGTTCTGCTGGTCCTGGTCCTGCTGGTCCTGCTGTTCCTGGTTCAGCTCGTCCAGGTTCTGCTGGTCCTGGGCGGGTCCGGTCTCAGGAGTGGGACAGGACTCAGTGGGAGCTGTTGTCTGCAGTCCATTAGTTTGTGAAACTATAGATTGAGAAAGAACAAAAGAAGAAAGAAACATTTGAATTTGAACAACAAATTACCATAAAACCGGGTGTAATCCAGATTAATCTTAATTTTATTGACATTCAAGGGAAACTACAACAATTAATCCATTTATTTTAGACCTAGATTATTGCCAAATGATCCTAGTTTTTATTATTGCACAGATGCTAAACTGCAGATCCATTCAATCTCTTCTGCTTTATCTGTTGCCAGGTCACAGGGGCAGAAGTCAAAGCAGAGACGCTAGATACAATACAAACTTAAAAAAAACTTTCATTTTTACTGATTTTACAAAATAACATGGTTTCAGACTTTCCATTCAGTCTCATGAGCAAAAAGTCCCTTCCCTTGATAATTGTATTCAGTAAACTGGGGAATGGTTTCTACAATCAACAACTGATTTGATAACACACCGTCAGAAAATATATGATTTTTTAGTCTATTTTTTTGGATGGAGCTGCAGACTGAAAATGCAGGAATGCAAATATACAGTTATTCAACACAAAAATGAAAGTCAAAGGCAAATTTAGACAAACAAAATCTAAATGGCACACAGAAATCATGAAAATTGACAGACTTAGACGATGAACCAGCAACAAATGGGGCAGAGCACAGGTAAAAATGGACACAGGGGAAACACATAGGGGCGGGGCAGACGGTAGAACATCCAAATATACAAGAGAAATAATGTTGCAAAATAAAACCAGGTGTGAATAAATCATGTCCAGTCCCCACCCATGACACAGTATTTGAAATAAGTGGGTGATTTGTGATTTTCCTCATTCCCAAAGAAATTGATATGCAGATATGTCGGACCTGTTCACTCTATACTCTAAGTTGTTATTCTTTCAAAGCCACTGATGCAAGAGCAGCTACTAGAAATGTCTATGCAAAAAGTACATGATTTATGGAAAGAATTGAATGCTTGTCTTTGCAATATCGATCTTTAATTAGCCATTGTCGCAATAACAATAGTGTTTGGATCTATTATGCAACCCTAACATGGATTTATACATTTAGTGTTGAAGTCAAACTGGGATCTGCACTAACCCAGAACTAGCTCAGATCTAAAGAAGAACAAATCGTGTTTGGAATTTCACTTGATTTCACACCTTCTATATCAGGTTCCTTGTCTTCCGTTTTGTTCTCTTGTCCTCCCAAAAGCTCTGGGATTTCGGTGGTATGAACTTGATAATCTGAACGCAGATATAACAAATGTTTTATTACTTTACTATTGATGATTTACTATTGGCAGTTTTTGTTATTTATCATTCTTTACCCAGATCGTCCAGATAAACGGGTTCGAATGATCCCATTGGTTCACAGGTGCGGGGAGGCGGGCGCTGCAGGTCGAAGGTGTACGTCTGCAATGAGAAACAGCATCAGTTGGGTGAAGGTTTTATTCTTTCAATTTTTTTTTTGATGATTTCTGTAGTTTTCTCCACTTAAATACTGTGGAGAAAATTACTAAATATTTAGATAAATAAAGGCATATAATAAAAGTAAAACATTCATTAAGCATAATAGGGATTTAAAATACATTCAATCAATTTAAGTTAAAAAAAAAAAAGAATTAATAAAAGTTAATAAACGTTAATACATAAAATACAACCAAAATCAGTAAGCTGTATTTCAGCAAGGGAGCTTCTAAGTTTGACTCCATCTCAAATCAATTCAATTCAATTCAATCTATTTTTGTACAGCCCTAAATCCCAACAGCAGTTATCTCCGAGGACTATACAAAGTTGTTGATTTGCCAACACAGATCAGAGAATCAAACAGTTCACATTTTTCAAAAGAGTCTTTGGTCCATAAGGGGCAGATGACCAACGTCCATAAATGTTAGACCCTCCTGCATCAGCAACAAACAACTCAACAACCAGAGGAAAAAAAGTGAGACATTGCAGGGACATTTATTTGAGGTTTCGACAGGAGTGAGAGAGAACCTTTTAATGTACGTTCATGTTTGTGTGGTGTGTAAATACTTGAAAACGTTATTTTTTTCTAGAAATAAGGAAAGGGAAGCAGTGGAATAGAAATAAATAAATGCATTAACAGATAAATTATAGCGTTCCCACCCGGCTGACTCTCCTCATGCGGACGAGAACGATGCAAAGAGCCACAACCAGCAGCAGCAGCAGGACCAGGATCACATAACCTGCATCAGGGAAAGCACAGATCACAGCCATATAGTGTCAAAATAAACAATATTGTCCAAATGTAATTCAAATATTTTTATAGCATGTCTCTCACCCCACGAAGACCCAGCACTGGGCTCTGTCTCTGCAGGAAGAGAAGATAACATTTATACAATATATAACACAAGTTGACAGCCAAAAATCGGTCAGGGGTTTCTCAACTGATTTAGACTAATTTTGGTGTTCTGAGTCCGAATATCACATGCATTTTGCTCTATCAGGTAAACTTTTTTGAGATACAGCCATAGTGTTACGGATTATGTACGTCTACGTTATTATGAATTCTGCTTATCAAACTTGATGGAGTAAATAAAAACTGAATGACTTTGGATACGTTGACTTTTATTTCTTGAGGAAAACGGAAAAAACGTCAAGGGTTTCTCAGCTGATGATCCGCAGAAATTTGTTTTTTACGCAAAATTGATTTAAAAAAATATTTCTGTAGCAAAAAATCCTGACCTGATTGAGCAAAACCAAGGTCATTTTCAGACTCAGAGCATCAAAATTAGTCTAATTCAGCTGGAAAACCCTGGACTATGAAACCCTCCAGTGAAATGCCATCCTTTACAAACGCACGGGTACAGCCAGTTGTACAATCACCTTTTCTGAATGAAACTTTGTACATGTGACCTTTTATCTCAGGACTTATAACAATATGAGCCATTTTAAAAGAAAATCCAGCATACGGCTCATTTAAATGCCTCTAATTGTGACGTGTGGCGCCCACTGCCACCAGGAGATGGTGCTGTTTGGTGTGGTTCATAAACACTGGTGTCAGGACATATTGTTTTGAGACACAGTTTGAAGACTTGCTTTTGAGGAAATAACTTTTCATTTTGAGAAAGTGACGCACTTTTGCAGGTTATCCACCAGGTTTTGCAGTTTACACTAATAGTTCTGAGAAATGCACAAACTGTTGTGCAAATGTGACGAATGATGTGAAAAATGCACCAAAGCGACTGAGAAAAACTGTAATCATTGTAATAAGATAATTATCATAGTCTTATTTAAATGTCTTCATAGTGAAATTTAAGATAGTTATAAAAAAAATTATCATGAACATTCGAACAAAGCCCAGAAGTTGTATTGTCTTTTTAATCATGGAGTGATTTGTTCAGAGCAGAAACAACACAGTATAAAGTTTATTCTCATATTGTTTTTTACAGTTGTTTTATCGGTCTCAGCTCATGAACACACATGCATGACAGAATGTTCACTCACTGAATGTTCCAATTAATGTGAGCAGAAACAACACAGTTAATTCTATCATTTTTTGCATAGATATAGAATAGAACGTTGTGTTTTCATGAGCCGAGGCTGAAACAAAAACTGTTTGTTATCTGACAAAACCATCTCTCACTGTTGTATTGTTATACTGTGTGCGCGTGCGTGTGTGTGTGTGTGTTGTGGGTCTGCGGTCTGAAACAGGACGTACCTTTCTTAGTGGGGGGGTCTGAGTTTCCTCCCATTGGCTCCTCCTCCTCCGCGGCAACTCCAATAACCAGACCCGTTTGATTCTAAATACATGGACATATCTTTACAGTGGGTTAAGCTTATTCACACATAGATAGATCGACAGACAGAAAGAGACACAGACAGACAGAGAGAGGTGGGTAGGTAAAGAGAGAGAGATGGATGGATGGAGATAGATAGATAGATAGATAGATAGATAGATAGATAGATAGATAGATAAATTATTTGTCATATATAATGTTGAAATGACAAGTTACCGATAAAGGTCTTTAGTCGAGTTTAAAAGCAGTTAAAAGAAAATGCGGGGAACCTAACTTTTAATTTTAAATACTACACCGAGTCTTTGTCCCAACACAAAGAGTCTGTAGCAGAGATCAAAGACCACAACATGCTATTGTTTGCATACTTGACAAAGAGAAAGAGCCCTGTGAGTCACTATTTGATTCTTTGGGCTGAGAGCTGATTGGCTAAATGAGGGTGGTCCACTCTTTTTCACTTTTCTGTCGGTCTGAGGCTAAAAAAAGCTACAAAACCCGTATTACACAGTTCTATTTTCTGATGTCTGAAAGTCAAGTACCCCAGCTTTAAAATTTGTTTTGACGCTATTTTATTTTATATCACGGATCAAACCAGAAGCGTGGTTTAACTCACCGTTGTTGTGTGGTCGTAAGCAGCTGACGTAACGTTGTTATTTATATCTCCCCTTTCCTGTGTGGTGCTTTCAGCGCTCACATCGTCGCTACTGGTCTGTTAAAAGTCCAGAAACACAACGGTAGAAAACAACACAACATAATCTCTCCTTCAACAATAACCCATCGTATTGTTCTGCAAAAACATTTACTTTTATTATCAATTTCAGAGTCATCTCAGTGGTTGTTAGCAGACTGTGAAACTTACCCTGGCAACTCTTTGCTGTTTTTCTGTTTACTTGCAAAAATGTGCATGTTTTTGCCGTGTTTCAAGTAGCATTCACCAGTTTTAGCTCTTCAAAGTGAGAAATGGTAAACCCCTTATGAATCGCTTACATTTAATACATAGAAAACTGAAAAAAATGATGCTGGATTGTATGCACATTTTTTTTATTTGAATGGGAGCAGTCAAAATGATGTCTCCGGGAGTTCGAGCAGTTTCATAATTCTGGGAGTCCAAATATTGTGTGTGCATATTCAGAGCCTGACGTGTGATTCTTTTGGTTTTCATGTTCCAATCCATTTTTTCTCATAAATAGAACATTCCATGGCCTTACAGCATGCAGTAGAAGTATGACTGAGTGTTTGTAGAAATTGTATATCTACTGTAATAACTTGAGAATTAGAAATAGAAATTCCCAGGTTAAGAAATGGTGGTAGTTATTAGACCTTGCAGAGTGTTGCCTGCTGTATATCTGAATGCTGAGATTAATGTATACATATCATGAACCATATTAGTAGTATTCATAACTTCCCCATTGTTACTATTCAGACTATTAATGCATCACATGGGAGATTTATCAAGTTACAGATGTCCTCCGCCCATTTATCTATCTATTCATATTTTTCATAAATGATGCTTTGACCTACATTTACAGCTGCAGATGAAGCAGAGGCCTGGGCTTCTTCTCTATCACCGGGATTCGTTTGGAAAGTGGTAGATTCAAGTGTTAAAGCTGAAGGGGTCTTTGGTGCCTCATCAGTCACTGAAACACATTATTGAGAATCAGAAGAAACAATATATGCTGGACTCAAATAGAAGTAGTAGTAGAAGTAGTAGTAGTAGAAGTAGCAGTAGTAGTAGTAGTAGTAGTAGAAGTAGCAGTAGTAGTAGTAGTAGTAGAGTAGAAGTAGCAGTAGTAGTAGTAGTAGTAGAAGTAGTAGTAGTAGTAGTAGTAGTAGTAGTAGTAGTAGTAGTAGTAGTAGTAGAAGTAGAAGTAGCAGTAGTAGTAGTAGTAGTAGAAGTAGCAGTAGTAGTAGTAGTAGTAGTAGTAGT